GCCAAAATATGAACTTTAGAATTTCTACCTGTTTGTCTGTAAGTATGTACATACACATGTCTGGGATGATCTCATAAATTACTGTATGGATCTACTTCAAATTTTGTATGATTATTACTGACAGATCGGGTTAGTATATAGGCTAAGTGATATAACTTAATAGTCACAAAATTGTCAACAGCTTAATATTAGGTTTCTATAAAGGTTTAATGAATAATATTATATAGAACTTATGGAGCCGACTTCTAACCTATGAATAGGAGGATAACCTATCAGTACTAATAATAGCTTTGGTTGTTTTTAAATTTCTGAAGTCAGTTTTTTAAACGCAGTTTTTATTTTATAATTTTTAGTGTAAAGCTGCATAGACCCGTTCATCAATACAAGTTATTTACTATAAACCGTTGAGGAGTTCTCTCGACTGTTTGTCGGCTCCATCATTAGGTCGACTCCAGAACCTCATCAAAATTTAATGTTCAAATTTTTTTATTGAGTAAATTAATAGTCGTATTAGGTACAGGCCCCTTCAATTTTCGAAAGTTTCCCTTGGTTTTCCTAGGATCCCATCATCAGATCCTAACCTAAGATGAAAATCAAACAAAACAAAATGGTTCATAAATGGCGGAGTAATTGGTGAACAAACAAAAAAATAATCATCTGAATATAGTGCCTCCTTCTTTTTTTGAAATGGGTAACAAATCGGTACAACGATAGTTTGACATCTAGGAAACGAAGTATTATTATTCCTTTATTCCGAAAATCACATGGCAACGGGGATATGCGTTAAAATTCCGGCACTCTAATGTTGGAATACTGAAACGCTACTCAATTTTAAGTCGTGCTTAAGTATAGTTCTATCTCTACAAATTATTTGTAAAATGACAGAGACGGCACGATATTTGAGCACGACTTAAAATTGAGTAACGTTTCAGTATTCCGGCATAAATCCTTTAAATGACTGAATCCATTTGATTGAAATCCATTTGATAGAATAGTTTTAATCACTGAAATCTCGCGAGGCGAGCATTGTACGGGTTGAAACCTAATTGTTGGGATTATTTATTTTTTGATATCACGAAAATAAATTCATTTCACAATAAGTATAACCTAAGTACCTACTGAATGAAGTCTGACGACATTTTTTTGTTACCGTGGAATTTCCCTTGGTAAAGTCTAATTCAAAAGCCTAAATTCTGCCAGAAGTCATTCTGCACGGACGAAGTCGCGGGCAACAGCTAGTAAATATATACATGTTTTGAGCGTAATGCTTTGACAGATGATGAAAAGCATATTTAGAAAATAACCGTTTCTATCTAGTTTCAAAATATCATAATAATTGGTACATAGTAACAAAAGTAACTCACTCTCTCCTCTCCAGCGCGGCTACTTCAGCCTCGAGATCAGTGGGGTCGTTGTCCTCGTACAGTCGCTTGGCAGTCACGAGGATATCTTCGAATGGTAAGTCATCGGGTAACTGGAAACGATGACATTTACATCAGACACAACTCAATCTCATCTCGTAGTCTTCTCAAGACAAAATATTTCAGCCAATTTTGTTCTAACTTCTTTCTAATTTAATAGTAGTAAGGGCCCTGTGTGGCTTGAAATTTTTATTTTATTTATTTTATTTTATTTAGGTCAGCCAACGACTGTTTACACATCATTTTACAACAAATCGGTTTAGATACAATATTATGCATTTGCTAGTGTAACAATCAATTAAAGGCTAACACATCATGCTCAAGAGAATAGTTAGGTATTAGCCCAGGTATAAATTATTAAATTAAATTAAATTAATAAACATAAAACACAACTATTAAATTAACACAAAAATTAAATTATTAAACACAAATAATAGTTTCCCATAAACGGAAATCTATTTAAGGTGAACACACAATTAGAACAAACATAGGAAACAACAATAAAAATAAGAAAAAACAAAACAATTAGCATCTCATACATTATGCATTCTAGAATAGACAGACAAAGATTAGATTTCATCAAATTACAATAGGTTACATTAGGTTTCATTCACAACATAATTATTCATTTACATAATTAATTAATTAATTAATTATTCATTATTCATTTACATAATTATTCATTTATCCATTTACAATTACCTTAACAATCTTGGAAATACTGTCCTGGTTCAAATCCACTGAGTCACTGCAGCTATTGAGAATCCCACATAGCCTAGGTATAGGTGAGTTTCTGCCTAGTACAGACCTACGTTGTGGCGGGCATAAAGGCATAATAATATTTCTTGGGTATCTACATGGGGCATGGAATCCAACAAGACCCAACAATTTCGAACATTTAATTTTATGTCTCAATATTTTAAATAGAAATATGGCATCTGTGACATCTCTGCGTGTGGATAGAGTGTGCATCTTAAAATGTTGCATACGGGTTTTATAGGAAGGTAGCTGTTTATATTTTCCTTCACAAAAAGCTAAGTGCCACACAAAACGCTTTTGCACTCGTTCCAAACGCAGCATATGGGTGGCGTAGTGGGGTCTCCACACCACACTGCAATATTCTAATATGCTACGCACGAGACTGTTATACAGCATTATTTTTATACTACTTTTACGAAAGCTTCTTGTATTACGAATTATGAATCCAAGCATTTTAGATGATTTTTTAATTATATGTTCAAAGTGGGGAACAAAGGTTACCTTCCTATCAAAAAGCACACCTAAGTCCCGAATAGTTTCGCGTTCTCGCACTTTAACCTGATCAATATAGTATTCAGTGCCCATGTAGTTATTTTTCCTTGTAAATTTAACATGGTAACATTTGTCAGGATTTAGTTGCATTCTGTTATTTTTACACCACTCAATTACACTGTTAAGATCTTTCTGCAGAAGCTCGTTATCGTTTGGGGTTTCAATCATTCGTGCAAATTTCAAATCATCAGCATAAAGAAAAGGCTCTGAGTATTGAAAACACTGGGGCAGATCGTTAACAAATATATTGAATAGAGTTGGAGCTACATGTGTACCCTGAGGAGCGCCTGAAGTTATAATTTGCTCAGAAGATTTAAATCCATTAACAACGACGCAAAAATTGCGCCTCGTCAGGTATGATTCAAACCATTGCAACAAGGGCCCCGATATACCGTAAGCTGAAAGTTTATATATTAGTATGGTATGAGACATTTTGTCAAACGCCTTACTGAAGTCCGTATATATTACGTCAAATTGCTTGTTTTTATCTACTGCCTGAACTACTGACTCCGTAAAACTTACTAAGTTCGTTGCAGTAGATCTTGCCGTTACAAAACCATGCTGATGGTCGCTGAGGTATATTTCAAAATGACGCTGAAGATACGGGCATATAATAGATTCAAAAATCTTTGCAAAACCTGAAAGTATTGAAATGGGCCTGTAGTTTGAGATAGTGTTTTTACTATCAGATTTGTGCACTGGGACAACCCTTGCTTTTTTCCATTCCGAAGGAAAAGTACCTGATGCTAACGATGCATTAAAAATTATTATCAGAGGAGAAACCAGTGCCGCTGCACAGGAAGAAATAAATATTGGTGGGATATCATCAGGCCCCGGCCCCTTGGTGATATCAATTGTTTTTAGTTTATTAAGCAGACAGTCATGGTCAATTACTAGGGCGCTCAAACATTGACCGTTGCTATTCAGAGTCTGTAAGTACTCTGTCTGGCAATCCACCTCCTCCCCACTGTCAGATGTGTATACGGACGAGAAGTATTTGGCAAAAAGGTTGCAGATTTCAGAAACATTAGAGGTTACATTCTGTCCGTCAGTCATGGTCTGTGGGTAAGCACTTGATCCACCTCGTTTAGCTTTTATATAACTCCAAAAAAGTTTAGGATTACTTCTTATACCTTGTTCCAAATTTCTAAGGTAATCATTATACAAGGTCCTGGCTAATTTTGCACAACGCTTAGAGATTAAATTCAATTCGATTTTATCCATAGGATTTTTATACTTTTTAAAGCGTAGCCTCAACCTATTCTTTTCCTTCAACGATTTTATCATTATTTTGTTGAACCATGGTGGGTAACGACTATTATTTTGTTTTCTTACTGGTACAAATTTTTTAATTACTTCATACAAATGTTCGTAAAAAATAGTTACCATGTCATTTACATGATTACAATTGTTAAATAGAACACGCCAGTCTTGATCATTAAGATAACCATTAATATCTTTATAGTTTGCTTTATAGAAATTCGGTCTAGGAATGGAGTTATTATACGGCAGACAACGATTATTAACCGATGAAAGGGTTATATGAAGGGGTGGATGGAGTCTATCGATGACCGTCAGAGAGGAACTCGATTCCCTCACCGAACAGTTAGACACCGAAGACAACACCAGATCCAATGCGCGCCCAGAATAATTTTTTACGTGATTACATTGTACCAGGTGACTCATATTTACAAAATCCACCAAAATTTGGCTAGTTTTAGGCAGAGAATCATTAATAGTCTTTAAATCCCAATTGATTTTACCCTGATTAAAGTCACCGACAATGCAAGTAGGAATACTTGTTGAGTCTATAAACTTGTTGCAGTGTTCGACAAAATGCTCGAGGGTTGCCGGACTCACAGGCGGAGGTAGGTAAATTGCACAAAGGGCCATTTTAACAGGTTTTTGAGAGAGCGATATATCAACAGTGACCCAGAGATCTTCACACTTACTTTCCCAGTGTACTATACGTGACGAGTTAATCTGTTTATTCACCGCTATCAATACTCCACCACCATCCTTGTTACCTGTAAATCCCGCCGTCTCCCTATCTCTCCTGTATACTTCATATCGCCCATCAAACAACTCACCACTCAGTACACTGCTATTTAACCAGGTTTCCGTTAATATTACTATATCATAGTTCTGACAACACAAATTACAATAAAAAGATTTTGTTTTCGTTCGCAAACCTCTACAATTTTGATAATAAATTAAAATATCATTGAATTCTATAAGTATTTGATCATTACTTGCACTAAAATGTAACAAAAACATAAATCATCCTATGTTATACCATTCTACTTAGATTACTATTGTTCCTAATCTGAATATGTTCGGTGCCCTCGTTTTTCCTCACAAATATTCTGCCATTTCTAACCCACACATATTTGTAGTTCATTTCTTTTGCTTTAATCCTAGTAGCTGCGTGCAGGGCTCTGTTAGTTGGTGACAGGTGCTCTGCAACATATACCGGAGATTTAGGTCCAGCATATCCAAGATGGCTACTATTTAGCTTTTCTTGTGGGTTTGACTTATTAAAATGTATAGTTGCAGCAAGTAGTTGATCACGCAGCTTTGGTGATGCCAGCTGAACAATGATTGAGCGGGGACGAGTACTGGAAGAATTGGACTTAGCAACACGTGTGCAGTGAGGGATGTCCTTATCACTAATTTCGCATTTGACTACACGTGCCAGTTGTGTTATTATTTTGTATACGTTTTCATTTTTATTTTCAGGTACACATTGCACTTCTAAATTATTTGAACGGGACTGCTGTTCCAAGTTGACAAATCTCTCGCTCATGCCACCCATTGCTGCCTTCAGTTCCGCATTTTCCGCTTCCAAATTCATAATACGCTCATTTGAGATTTCCTGTTTCTTCCTTATTTCCTCGAATTTTTCATTCATGAAGGACATTGAGTCGCGCATTCCCTGCATTTCCAACCTCAGCGGCTCCAATTCTCTGCTGATAGTGCCAACAATTGTTTCATTTATCCTGACTAACATTTCGCTAAGTTCTTCACCTATTATTTCCTTTATAATACAACGAATGTCATTTTCCTTACTTGACGACGAGGGAGGAGACGGTGAGGCAATGGCTTGCCTTTTAGGGCCCCTGTTCATCGAGACGTTACGTATTGGTGTTGAATCGCTTCGGCCCACTTTCGGGGCACTACTCATACAAGTCGGACATTTCCAAGCGCTAATGTTATTAGGGGGTTCTTTAATGGAAATACAGAAGTAGTGGTAAGACCTCCCGCAAGTTGAACACAGCAGAAATTTTTCCTGTAAATTTGCCTCATTTCCACTCTCGCAGCAACCCCAACGTGCATCCCCACCCGCCATCGCGAGCCCAGAACCAATTGGCGATCAAGAATAAAAATAAACAAAAATTCTCGAAGTCGTCCCCACAGAGGCAATGCGATGCACGCACAAAACGACGCGCGAATACTGTCGCTTAGTCTTTGGTGTGGGCGGTCGCTTGCGTCACTATGCGTTGGCGCATGCGATTATGTGTCTTCTGCGCGCGATCGAACAGCGAGAATTCCGCGCAGCGCGCGCAAACCGACCAGTCATTCACTCGACAGCTGATCGGTTGACACTTAGAACGTTCAACTGTTAACAAATTGAGTTTATGCACTGCACTACTATTATTTCCCCAAGAATTCACTTCACTGATGTTATATTGTCACTTAGTGGTAGTTTATTCTAAGATTTACAAGAATTGAGAACAATTAGACTAATTTAAACACAGAGCAACAAAACACGTGAGTTGACCGTACCAATGCACCAATGAGATGAAATCAGTCGAGTGACCTCAAACAGTTACGAGACGGTACTCGATTTAACTTTTGATCGAAATTTTAAATTGACACTCCAAATTACAGTAAATTCCTGGTGTAAATTGATATACCTCAAAATACTTGTAAAAACATGTTTCAACTAACAGCAAATACTCTAACAACTCACCCTAGACAACAAACAATGTAACATGGCCATATCACACTCGCAGTTGAAGACCTCGTCCGCTCTGTACAGCACTATGGCGGCAGTCACATACACAGGGAATAATGGCGGCGCGCAGAGGAAGTAATCGTACAGACGAACTACATCGGTGTACTTGTTTAGACTGTGACCGAACCACGTCAGGTACCAGGGTAGAGCGAACATCGTGCCTACTTGTGCTCTGAAACATTACAAGAAGAGAATAAGATATTATTGCTAAAAATAGCAATAAGGTAGATGCCTAATTTTTATTTTAATGTCCGTCTTGTAGATTATATTAAATCATTAAACACATATTTTTTATTTTCTTACAAAAACGAATACTTTCGACGATATATTGATTTGAAATGTCGCGTGACGTCACTTTTATGTACATTTTGACAAAAAAATACGTGTCTAATATTTTTTCATTACCTAACTTACGGACTAATTAGATTTTTAATTTTCATACCCTGTCATCATCCCAATTGGAGACAACGTAAATACGTATACATATCAGATTTCTCAGAATTTTATTACGATATTAAAGATTAAATTAATTTGTTTCAGCTTCCTGAAACAGCACTGATCATTGATAAATTAGTCAATTTGTGAAGTGAATCAGTACGGAGTGAGTCAGATCTTATCATTACCAACACATATGTTGATCATGATGATGAGCATATTTAAAGTGAAAGAGATATTAGGTCGATATTTCTCCGATGACTAACGATAGCACTTTCCTATTAGATAACAGTCATTTGCAATCTTCAAGCAAGCACTGACTTGTCTAAACACTCAGCGAGTTTCCTGTCGGCCCTGCTGATGACTGGCAGCATGTAGTTGAGCAAGTGCTGTGTGGGCTGCATCGTAGTCTGCATAAAGGGCGCCAGTGGAGCGCCCGGCCCATACGACAGGCGGCAGAGGAGCGGGAACGAAGCTTTGTCCCCACATACTAGTAGTAACGTGATTGCTACGTCATGGTAACCCTGGAGATAGGAAAATATTGGTTAAAAATCCTGTTTTACTATCAATTTTGTTTTCTTGTTTGTTTGTTTGAACGCGCTAATCTCCGTAACTACAGGTCTGATTTGAATAATTATTTTTGTGTTGGATAGCGCATTTATCGAGGATGGCTATAGGCTATAAAACATCAGTTTACGACTAATAGGCGCTGAGCAGAGCGTGTGAAACCGCGCGGAAGTTTGTATATAGGTAAGTAGGAAGATGGGTGAGCATTAAATGATTCAATTTTCGTAAGTTTTATTGTCAGTCCCCTATAACAGAGTGGGTCTATTGTGTTGTTATTGAATCATAAAGGAGTATTGAATGAGTATTGAAAATGCTGGTAGTATCTGATCCAATGGACGGGTTAAGTACCTAAAATATTATTAGCTGGGGTAAGAAATTAATGTAGTTAGAGCAATAATGGCACTCAATGACTGTAGTCAACCTTTCTACAGCAAGACATTATATATAAGTTTTATAATAAATGCAATGCAATAAAAATATTAATATAGAAGTTATTTTTATTATGTACACCGCTAGATATACTTACAACGGACAGTGACCGAGAAAGTAATAAAAGCGGAACATTATACCGCATAGGTAGGTACTCTATTTGCTAAGCACAAGCAAGATTAACTAATATAAAAATATCATTATACTTTTCTTTTTTTTACGTAAAATAAAGACTTTCTCAAGACTTTATATGTGACAAAAATAATATAGTTTATGTAGTTTAGAGATTTATAATAACACTAGCTTCCGCCCGCGACTTCGTACGCGCAATCGCGATATTTCCCGTTCTCGTTCTTGATTTTCGGTAAAAAGAAAAAAAAAATTGGGTAAAAAGTATCCTATGTCCGTCTCCTGGTGTTAAGCTACGTCCCCACCAATTTTCATCCAAATCGTTGTAGCCATTCTTGAGTTATAAATAGTGTAACTAACACAACTTTCTTTTATATATATAGATTTTTACGTGTTCTTGCTTATAAGAATACTGTAGTTGACAAGTAGTCAAATTCAATACTTATATAGAAATGTCAAAAACGATAGTTTTCTATGAATTTTGTATTGAATCGCAACTTATGACGTCATCATATTTCTGTGTCAAAAAGAATACTTATTTCCTTAAAATTAGCAAAAAAAAATCCAAAAGTAGGTAAATTGTCAATATGATTATTTTTTGTGGCAGTGGTTGGATGAGAAGAGCTGAAGACCGAGCTCAGTGGCGTGCCATAGGAGAGGCCTATGTCCAGCAGTGGACGAATACAGGCTGATAATGAATATGATTATTTTTTTATTATTTTTACATTAAAAAGTTGAAACAATTTATGTTAAACGTAGGAAACTACCCAATTCTGTGAGATTTCTAATTCGATTCCTGATTCAGATAGAAAAAGAATAGACAGTTTTTTATCACAGTACAACAAAGTTTGTTTATATTCATTTGCTAGTCATAATAAAATAGAAATTCTACAAATATTTACATTTCACCAAATAGTAAAATATCTAACAGCTGTAACTAGAAATCTAGATAACAGTTAGAACAATATAGACGGGTTCTAGTTACTTTAGTCTGTGTGTAACTGAGCGAAGTATTAACTATTGTGTAACTGATAACAAGTTCACGCTATCAAGGTTAACGATGCTGTCCTCTTTCTTCCGTATTTAGATGGAACAGTGTTTACAACATAACAGAGTTTTCTGCACTAAGAGGAAAATTTTACACAAAGGAAGATGTAAAGTTTTTAAATATTTTTTTTATACTACATATATAACCTCACGCCTGTCTCCCATATGGTAGGGTAGGCAGAGACTATAGAACCACTTTATCATTCATCAGAGAGAAGAATACATCTGTCCACACGGCTACACTCCTCGCGGGTGTTCTAAGATTCAACTCACACTCATGAGTGGGCACTCATATGTGTGAGTTGAATCCTTAATCACTCTAAGGTTAATAACATTATAATACCGCGTATTCCTGTTTTATCCCATAGGAGCATTTAATCGAGATAATAAAAGTATTCTATCACCTAAGTCGGCCCATATACTTCTTGTATGCTAAACTAGCTACTTCCCCACGGTTTCACACGTTCTGCTCAGCTCCTATTGGTCGTAGAGTGATGTTTTATAGCCTATAGCCATCCTCGATAAATGCGCTATCCAACACAGCTAGAATAATTCAAATCAGACTTGTAGTTACGGAGATAAGCGCGTTCAAACAAACAAACAAAAAAACAAACTCTTCAGCTTTATATAATAGTAGGTATGTATAAGATTTCATCAAAATCTGTTCAGTAATTTCAGAGTGATTGACGGACAAACATCCTAATAAAAAAACTTTCAGTTTTATAATTTTAGTGTGATAACATTCGGTTTATAAAGAAATTGCCCGTAGACTAATACTAGCCTAAAATTACTATTAATAACATAACATAACATCACGCCTTTTTATCCCCGAAGGGGTAGGCAGAGGTGCACATTACGGCACTTAATGCCACTGTACAAT